CCCCCAATTTAGCTACATTTTAAAATTTTCAAAAGCTAAACAAAACCCCAAGAGTAAGAGTAAGTGGCTATAATTACATAAATGAACCAAATCTTGAGAAATCTGAGGTCGTTTCGGTACTTGGCATTGTGCTTGAAAGTAGAGATACAATCTGATAAAAGATTGTCGAGATCTGCACCGGTGCGGTTCCCTGAGTACCATTCATCCAACGCCTTCCTTATCGACCTGGATTCGAAACATGTTAGTAAAAGAAAAACAGTTCACAGCAAACAATTATTGAAACTCAATTTTAAGAACGAAAGAGAAGAGTACGTGAGCCATGGGAAGAGAGGGTCGTGAGCAGAGGAGGAATCATTCGATTCTGCGAGAATTACACCCATTATTTTTCTTTTCCGACTGCCTTTTCAGTGCGGGATTGGGAAAACGAGGGAGGATTTAAAATGAGAGGGAAATAATAGCTTTTCAAATTCGTAGGTTTGGGCGCCGGTGGGTCCCAATTTATGAGTAAATTTTTTACTAAATATTTAAATGAGTTCTCAATCTTTTAATTTCTATCTTTTTGATACGTTTTAATATAATTTTAAATTTTTATTTTCAGTCTACTAAATCTATTTCATTAACTCTTGATTAACTTTCATTAATTAATAATTTCTGATATTATGTTATTTGTCATGTGATATATTATCGTGTCATTTTAATAACGTCGACTATTGTAATTTGAAAAATTATTTATTAAAAATTAATTTTTTTTTTATTCATTCAAATATACAAAAATTATTGATTAGAGATTTGAAAAAAAATAAAAAAAAACTAATTATTTCTAATTGATCATCATTTATTAACAAACAAATACTATCTTCTTAACTAATTACAATTTTCTTAATTAAAGCTTTCTTTTTTAAATAAAAAAACCTTATCCAAATTTTTTCAATTTGATTGAAGCTATTTTGCTCGCAAGCAAATATGTACATTCTTCAACATTCCCTAAACCCAACGTCTTATAGTTAAAATGTCTTCTCCCTATCTACAATTCTTGTTTTTTCTTAAATCATTTTTTGAACAATCATGAATTTTCAAAAACTGTGAAAGATGTCGAAAGAGAATCTATTGTTAACTTTCACTGCTAAAATCGTATTTGGATATTCTCGAATTTCTCTACATTCTTTAAACCAACGTACCTTATAATTAGAATGTCATCTTCCTCTATGCAATTCCTATTTCTTTTCTAAAAATCATTCTTTAAACAATTTTGAATTGTCAAAAATTATAAAAGATGTGGAAAGAATCTAACTTCCTCTTCTCAAAATTGTATTTAAGTATTCTCGGATTTTTATAACCCAACTATCAATCAAACAACAATAGTTTCAATTCAATTGAAAAAGTTGGATTAGGTTTTTTTTTGTTGAGAAGGATGGCTTCAATTAAGAAGGTAGTAATCAATTAAAAGAAACGATGAAAATCAGTTTGAAGCAATTAAGTTTTTTATTTCAAATCTCTAACCAATAATTTTTAAATATTTGGATAAGTAAAAAGGAAAAAAAACTGAATTCTTAGTCAATAATTTTTATGTCATGTGACATTGATATTATCAAGATGACATGTCAACATGTCACATATGTCAACATGTCACATCGTGATATAAAAAATTACTAACTATACCATTAATCAATAGTTAACAAAAATAGTTTATTTAATTTAAAATAAGAGTTCAAGAACTTATTTGAACATAATAAAAATATAGGAGCTAAATTTGTTTTTTAGATATAGTTCAAAAGGTTATTTGTATATTTAACCGAAATTTTTTATTCAAAATGATAATAAATATTTTACTATTTATGCTAATTTCTTTCTTTTTATTACAATATACTCTCTTGTTTTAAATTGTTTTTTTTTTGGCTTAGTAGAAAAATTAAGAAAAACATTTTGGTTTTATTTTTTAAAATATTTTTAAATAATTATAGTACTGATATTATAATTTTTAATATCAGAATTTTATAAAATATACTAACAATATATATGTAGTTTAAAAAATAAGAGTTATAATTGTTCAAAAAATAATAATACTTACTAAAGCTTCTAAACTATTTGAGAAATTTCAAATAAGCTCTCATTATCTTATTACATTTAGTCAAGCCTCTATATTTTTATTTTAAACCAAATAAGCTTTTATACTTTTATTTTGAATCAAATTAAGGCTTATGATTAATAGTTGACTTAGTTAAAATGTCATTTGTCATTCTATGACACGTGGCACTGACATAATATATTGAAATGCGATAATTGATAATGGCTTGGCATGGCATGCTAATGTGGCATAATGACATGATTACCACTTTAATGCCATGTAAATATAAAATGCCAAGTGATATTTTAACTAATGAAAATTAGTTAACTATTAATTATAAAGACTTATTTAATCTAAAATAAAAATATAAAGACTTAATTGTACGTAAAAAAAGAGATTATGTGAATTTTGTTAACTAATTCAAGTGTTTTTTCTAGTATTATGCCTTAAAAAAAAGGAAATATAGTTTTTTAAACAATTTAATATATGTACATATATTTATATATATACATATACATATATGTACATATATTTATATATATACATATACATATATGTATATATACACACATATTCAATTTGAGACAGATAAAACCTATTATGTTAAAAAATTAGTAAAAGAAGAAAAAGAGGAAAAAGTAGACTTGAGGCATACTGTAACACACTTTCTTTAAAGGGTTGTTGCCTAATATAAGGATTTGCAAACAAAGATTCTCTAGGATAAAGCAAGACTTTTTGTAGAATGCTTTGAATGAATAAAGTCTAGTTGAATATAAGGTCCTTTCATAAACACTGAAAGGTTGTGTCTAATTTATTTCAACAAACATATCTTGTTAAGTTTTAAGAGATGTGTCTGTTTAAAAGTACTGAATAGTTAATCAACATATTTAACAGTTTTGTTTCAAACCATCTTTTCTTTATTCAAGAGTCATATCTTAATTTAAATAGTAACTTAATTTGAATAATTACACTTGAATAAAACTTCTTTATAATACAAACTATTTAACAATCCCTCATTAGTTTGTAATATTAATAATACTATGCATAGTAAAGAGTATCTTGAAAATTTAAACTTTTTATTAGTGTAGAAATTTCAAAGTCAAGATGAATTTATTAGTATTACATGGATTGAACCACAACTCTTTATTATCATAACCAAAATATCACATACATAGCATTATTTAATTGCTTTAAGATTCTGCCAACTGCTTTAGCACTTATATGGCCTTATGCTAATCATGGTTTCATGAATATTTACACAAGTAAACCCTTTTTAACTCTTGTTTGAAGTAGCACCACTCTAATGTTCATATAAGTGGAATTTGTAATTATGCTCCTGTTACTACAAGCATTGAATATTTCCATTAAGAGCCTTTTGCTCATCATCTCCTCGTAACAGTTGTACTAAATATTCTACAATGAAGGTGTTTAATACAAAAAATTCAGTGCATAATGACAGCATATAGTAACTTGTTATTACCCATTAAACTTTTATTGCTAGTTTTGCTAACTCAAAGTTGGGTTTCCATTATGAATACTTTTGATTCAAGGGTTTTAGCCCCAGTCCACTATAAGTAGACTTTATAGCCTCTCTTGGCAAAGCTTTGGTAAGTGAATCAATCAAATTCTTGCCAGATTTAACATAAACTATTGTTACAATGCCATTTGAGATTAATTCTCTTATGTCGGCATCTCGCAAACTTATGTGTCTAAACTTTTCATTATAAATCTTATTATGGGCTGCATACATTATAGCCTCACTATCACAATATATGGAAATGGCTGGCATTGGCTATGACCACAACTTTATATCTAATAACAAATTTCTCAACCATTTTACTTCTTTTCCAGTAGTTGTTAATGCTAAAATTCAAATTCCATTATAGAATGCATAATACAAGTCGGCTTCTTAGATGTCCAACTAATGGCACCACCTCCTAAGGTAAAAATCTATCCTGATGTAGATTTATTGTCATCAATACTAGTTATCCAACTAGCATCAAAAAATCTTTCCAAAGTACTAGAAAAACTACTGTAAGAAATTTTTAAATTTTTTATTTTCTTTAAATATCCAAGTACTTTAATAATAGCCTTCCAATGATCTTTGCCAGGTTTACTTGTAAACCTTGAAACTTTGTAAACAGCAAAGGCTATATCAGGTTTGGTACAATGCGTAACATACATAATGCTGCCTATGACACTTGCATATTTTAATTGTGCCATAACTCTTTCACAATTTTTAGTCAATTGTACCTCGAATCAACTGCCTTACCCCATGTCAAACTTGGTTTACCTTTTGTTTCATCTTCTATGTTTCTTTTTTTGTTACTGACTGGAAGTCAATTTAGAGACTAGTGGAACAATGAATAAATGTATAAAAATGAAGACCCTGGTACATGTTGGAGTACTTGTTGATTTAGACTCACTAGTTAGTTCCATGGTAAATGCATGCATTCCCATGGCAATCTCAAATTTCTATGCTACTCATCCCAACTTCAGAACAAGATTATATCTACACTTTAAGGACTCGAATGATGTTGTTGGTGTTGCTTTTACGGGTATTTTTTCCCCATAACAATATTTGGTGTTACAAAGATAATTTACTTCATAAGCTCGAATCGTCTAACAAGGTGTAAGCCGAATATGCTAATTGATCTGTTAACCTGTCTTTTATCTATATACAATTAGGCATCATGCAGTCCTTGAATATATTAAAACTACATATTGGAAGAAGTCTTAGACTTCATTTCATTAATTCCAGAGTGTTTTTACAATTTGAAAAAATAAATTCTATAAATTTATATATGGAATACATTTGTTACAAATGGTTAATATAATTAATTGCTTATTTTGATCATATACATCCATACAAATTGCAACTCTAGATTTGATTAATTAGGAAAAAGTTAACGCTATTCTAGGCCCCCAAAGGTCAATGCAAGCTAGATTTGTGATAGATGTGGATGAGAAAGCTCAAGTTCCCATTATTTCTTTTTCAGCCACAAGTCCCACACTCTTTACAACCCAAAGCCCTTTCTTTATTCGAACAGCCCTAGATGATAACACTATGGCAAAAGCCATTGTGACCCTTGTTCAAGCATATGGATGGCATGAAATAATCCTTGTATATGAGGACACAGAATATGGAAGTGGTTTGATTCCCTACCTAGCAGATGAATTTCAACAATTTGACATTCGGGTATCTTTCAGGTTTTCCATCTCCCCAAACTCAACGAGATTGAGGATTTTAAAAATGCTAATAGCTAAGCAGATGAAAGTGACTTTGGTACATATGACTTCTTCCTTAGGGTTTGATCTCTTTTTACTTGTAAAAGAAGTAGGCATGATTAGTGAAGGATACACATGGATCATCATTGATGGACTATTGAGTTTGTTGGATCCCATTGGGAGCAAAGGTCCTCAATTCAATGAAAGGTGTGTCAGGTATAAGTCATACGTACTGCAGTCGAAGAGCCTTGAAAAATTTAAAAGGAAATGGAAAAGTGGGATTCACTCTAATTCTACCAAATTAAACATTTTTCATTTTTGGGCATATGATACTGTTTGGGTGCTAGCTATGGCAGTTGAAATGGTTAGACATGATCAGAGCTCCAATGTTATCGAACAAAATTGTAGTAGAAATGCAAGTCAATTTCTTGATATAAGAGTCTCTAAAGTAGGGCGAATGATTAGAAATAGGTCATTACATACCACATTTAAAAGCCTAACTGGAGATTTCAATTTGATTAAAGGGCTGTTACAGTCTTCAGCTTTTAAAATCATCAATGTGGTAGATAGCGAGCAAAGAGTTATTGGCTATTGGACCCTTGAGAATGGATTGATTGGGCAACTACGCAAACTTGGAAAGGTAACATATTCAACTTCCATGTATAAACTTAAATTGCCTATCTGGCCAGGAAACACAAAAGTTAAACCCAAAGGTTGGTCAATACTTGTTAATGGTAAGAAGTTGAGGATTGAAGTCCTCATGAAACCTGGCTTTGATGCATATATCAAAGTGGAATGTGATCCTTACACCAACGAGTCCATCGTATCAAAGTTCTCTTATGACGTCTTCCTTGAGGCATTAGGGGTATTAACATTTACAGTTCCGCATAAGGTGATTCCTTTCACGATCGATTTCGGGCAAAGTGCAAGAATGTATATTGAGCTTCTTAGCCAAGTCAACCTTCAGGTGCATTAAGCCTAATCGATAACCGTATCTCCTATAAAAAGGAAAACCATAAATTTGATGAATTCCCCTCCCCTCGAAGTAATGTTAAAAGAATTTTAGAAAAGACAGTAATTTTTCTTCAGATTACTTCCTTCCATTTTAATATTAAAACCTATACATGTATATATACTTTGTCCTTGTAGAAATTTGATGTAGTAATGGGAGATATAATAATTTTGGAAAATTGGTCTCAATATGTAGATTTTACATTGCCATACTTGCAGTCACATGTTTCAATGGTTGTGAAAATCAAGGATGATAAGAGAAAGTATATGTGGATATTCTTAAAGCTACTTACTTGGGATCTTTGGTTAACAACAGAGGCAGCTTTCATCTACATTGATTTAATTATATGGGTTTTGGAACGCAGTTTAAACAACGAATTCAAAGGTCCCCCGCAACAACTAGTAGGCACCGTTTTTTGGTTTTCCTTGTCAATTCTAGTCTTTGCTCATAGTAAGTAAAATTTTCTATCTAATCTAATCATAAATAATTTTTTTTTGAAGAACAATATTATTTAATCAAGCCAGCTCATTAGTCACTGCACATTTGACTAATGGCTTTGCCTAGCTTTAGGGGAGAAGATAACGAACAATTTGTCAAAATTTGTGCTTATTATCTAGATATTTATGGTACTCATCCTCACCCAAAGTTACACCGCAAGCTTAGCCTCAATGTTAACAGTGCAACATTTGCAATTGGCAGTAGTAGATATCAATGAGCTCAAAAGGAACGGTGATTTTGTAAGATACAAAACCGGTTCCTTCATGAAAGACCTTTTGGTAAAACAATTATATTTTGACGAGTCTAAGTTAAAGAATTATGGCACTGTTAAGGAGTTTGACGAAGCATTATCAAAGGGAATCCAAAATGGTGGTGTTAATGCAATTTTCAATGCACAGCATTGCATTGAGCTATTTCTTGCCAATTATTGCGACAATATGACAATAGTACCAAACTACAAACTTGATGGACTAGGTTTCGTAAGTCTTTTTCCACCCTACTTTTGAATGTACATTGTTTACAATTGCTAATCATATATATATATATATATATATATCATTTAACCAAGAAACTAAAACTTGGTTTCTTGCTTAGGCCTTCCCATAAGGGTCACATTTAGTGGCCTATTTATCCAGGGCAATCTTGAGTGTGACTGAAGATAAAGCAAAAATGGATGCCATGGAGCAAAAATATTTCTCACAAAATCATGCTTGTGAAAATCAAAATACAGCAATTTCTTTCGATAGTCTCAACGTGTACAGCTCGGGGATGTATTCATCATTATAGGAGTGGCTTCGATGTCTTCACTCATCATTTACGTGTCAAAATTTCTACAATCTCATTCGACAAAAATGGACACTGAGCATCCAAATGGTTCAGTTTGGTCAAAAATTAGTGAATTGGTAAAGCGTTTTGATCACCTATCTCCACATCTCGTGAAATCAAATGATAATGCAACCAGTTCTCAAAGTTTTGATACTTCATCTGATTTTGTAAGTACTCCGAGTAGCTCAAGTACTTCCAATTAAGGTGCAAATGATGTTGTCGTTGACAATACTCGCATTAGGTCAAGGATATAGAATTTTGTTACAGTCATACCTAGGGGTGGAGGATAGTTAAGTAATGGGGGGGCCATGGCCTTCCAAAAAATTTTAAAATATTTTATTTATTATATCTATTTTTTAATTAAAAGTGAAAGATAGTATATTAATTAGGCGCATACCCCCTAAACAAGTATTATATATATTTTAATTCTTTTCAAAATCATTTTTTGATAAAATGACACCATAAATCCTATTCAATTTTCTCTTAATTTTTAAGTTTCTTTACTCTTTTTTCTCTCTCTTCTTTTTCTCTTTCTCTTCTCTTTTGTCTTTTTTTTTAAAAAAACATTCAATGAAATTTTAGTACTTAATATATGTGTGCAAAAGCTACCTCATTTTAGTAGTATGGCAACAAAAACATATAAGATATGTCCCTAATATGAGATAAGCTGCATATAATGAAGCAGAACACATCTAAAATTTAACAATCTACCGACAAGAATAACCAAAGTTTAGAGCCATTTCCTTTTAAAACACATGGCTCCTGCACAATCTCCATATAAAGCTCTCTAATTTACAAAAATCTCATCAAGTATTGGTTGTCATCCTTACTGGACAGACTTCACTCTAACTATATATTAATATCAAAAGGAAAATCAATTCATTTCTCTAGTCTTGATTTATTGACCAGCGTAGAGAATTTCTATCAATTTTCAAACCAGCAATATAGTATATAAATACGAGTCTTGATGGGTTGCACATGTTTTGAAGCTAAAGCCAACAAGCATTGTTTTTTTATTTTTATTTTACTTTCTTCCTTATAACTCACCATTGAAACATACTTCATTTTTCAAACGTCGAGCACAAATTTCCAAAAAAACTATTGTAAATTTTTTTTCTTATTCCTTTTGATTTATATGTTATATAAATTTATTATATAACATGAATCTTTTACTTATTGGTTAAGTTTAATATATTATTTTTAAAAACTTTTAACCTTTATTCCTTTTCGTCTTTTACCCCTCAACAAAAGTTGGCTAGCTCCGCCCTTGGTCATACCATAAGGATACTACGTTCAAATTATTGAGTATTTAGCAATTTCAGAGAATAAAGGAAGAAGAAGTAACAGAGAAAAGAGAAGAATAATCTTTTCAAATAGAATAGGAAAATATGCTGGAATTCCATACAATGTTTCATACACTTTTTAGTATTTATTTGAGGAATTTGAATAGTCAAACTTTCTAAATCCTAAAATGTAGCAACGATTTTCAACAAATGAATTGAGCCTAAAATCAACTCAGCATTCACCATAAAAACCAGTGACAAGCAACCGAAAAAAAAAACAAATTGAACTAGACTTCGCAGAAAGCCTTACAAGAAATGCTAAACGACATCGTATGAGAAACGACATAAAAAAGACTAAGTAAAACGACATACCATAGTGCCATTTCATTAACTAGAAAATCAGTAAAGTGGAAAACGACTCCTGCTTGCGACATTTTGACACCAATGGCTACTTTACAGCTTCAAGTTGTCGTTACAGCCCACCAACTAATTTTCTCCTCTACAACAACCACTCTGCTTTTCATTAACCAAATAAAGATCACTTCTTTAACACACCTCCCTGATCTTTAGTTTGGTAAACACCCAAACCAAATCTTAGAAGCTCAAACCTCTCACGACTAAGCCCCTTGGTAAAAATATCAACGAGCTGATCTTCTGTTGAGTAGTACTTCAATTCAACTTCATTGTTCTTCACAGCATCCCTTAAAGCATGAAATTTTACTTGAATATGTTTAGTCCTGCCATGATGCACTAGATTTTTTGCAACAGCAATGGCTGACTGATTATCAACATTAAGTAAGACTCCCCTAGTTAAAACCACTCCCAAATCTGACAAAACTTTCCTCAACCACTAAGCTTGATTTGCTGCTGCAGTGGTTATGTTCTCTGCCTCAGTAAAAGATTGAGCAACAATTGCTTGCTTTTTTGAATTCCATGAGAACACAGCACTACCAAAAGAATAATAGTAACCACTTGTGCTCTTTGAATCATCCAGAGGCCCAACCCAGTCACTATCACTATGCCCACATAAGTATCTGAGACCAAAATGAACTATCCCTTTCACATATCTAATAAGTCTCTTTACTGCTTTAAAATGATCATGTGATGGAGATTGCATGAACCTTGAAAGAAGACAAGTTGCATACATAATGTCTAGTCTAGTAGCATATAAGTATAATAATGAACCTATCATGCTTCTATACAATCGACCACTTGCATCACTAGAATCATTAACCTTACAGAATTTAGCTCCTACAGTAAGTGGAGTACGAGCAGCCTTACATTCACTCATATTAAACTTCCTCAGTAAATCTCAAGCATACTTAGCCTGATGTAAAAAAATTTTTCCATCACTTTGCTGAACAGATATCATTAATCCCAAATCTGTCATTTCAAAAACAGACATCATTTGAGCCTTAAATTCATCAAGTACTCCTCATCTGGACCTGTTATTAACAAGTCATCAACATATAGGGCAACTATCAACTTAACTAAATCATCAACCTTCTGAACATATAATGTTGATTCTGTCAGACTTCTTTCAAATTCCAAACTTCTAAAATGCTGGTCAATTCTATCATATCAGGCTCATGGAGCCTGTTTAAGACCAGACAAAGCTTTCACCAACTTGCAAACTTTAGTTTTTGATCCTTTCACAACATAACCTTCTGGCCATTCCGCAAAGATGTCTTTTATCGAAATACCATTCAAGAATGTAGATTTCACATCAAGATGGCTAATTTTCCAACCTTGTTTAGTTAAGAATGCTACAAGTAATCTTATAGTATCAAGCCTAGCAACAGGTGCAAATGTTTCAAAAAAATTAATACCATATGTCTGTGCAAAACATTTTACAACTAGCCTTGCTTTGTACTTGTTTACTATACCATATGGATTCAACTTAGTCCTGAACACCCATTTAACACTAATAACATTATGATCCTTTGGCCTTTCTACCAAATTCCATGTGTTGTTCTTCAAAATCATACTTATTTCAGCGTCCATTGCAGCTTTCCAATTTGAATATGCACTGGCTTCAGCATAATAATTAGGTTCTACCATAGCGACATTACATTTACTATAGATATCAGCCAATGACCTAGTTCCTCGAACTGCTAACCTTTCATCTTCAATGTCTTCAGTCTCACTAGCTTTATCATTAACTAATTTGTTAAACAATTCAACTAGATCAACTTTTTCAACCATATTTTCTTTCAAAATTCCATTTTTATCCCTCATCAAACATCACTTCTTTGCTGATAAACATCCTCTCAGTTTTAACATCCAGTAGTCTATACCTTTTGGAGACTTCACTATATTCTAAGTGAATTACTTGCAAAGTCTTAGGATCCAATTTAG